AGGATCACTTGAGCCCAGGAGTTTGAGGTTGCTGTGAGCTAGGATGACGCCACGGCACTCACTCTAGCCAGGGCAACAGAGTGAGACTCTGTCTCAAAAAAAAAAAAGGTTGTTCCAGTAGAACATTCTTAGCATTGTGTGAGAACATCTGGGTTTCCTACATATCCACCAGCACAGTGGGGTTTTTTTAAAAAGAGTTTTATTGAGATATAATTCATGTCCCATACAATTCATTCATTTAAAGTGTACAATTCTGTCTTTTAGTATAGTCAGGGTTGGACAACTATCACCACAATGAATTTTAGAACAATTTTGTTCCCCCCAAAAAGAAACTCTGAACCCCTTATCCATTACCCCGCAATTCCCGGATCTCCCCCAGCCCCTGGCAGCCACGATTCTCCTTCCTGTCCCTGTGTTAATTTGCCTGTTCCGTGTAAATGGGGTCACACTCTGTGTAGCCTTTGCAACCAGCTTCTTTCACTCAGCACCACGTTGACAGGGGGTTTTTGGTCTGTGCCAATGAGGTGGTGGTTTCACTGGGCAGTTCTCTGACTTGTGGTTGAGATCAAACATTTTTCTCGGGTGTTTTCAGGGCTCTATTGGCCTCCAGAGGACCGGGAGCCTTCCCCGGAAAAGGGGAGAGAGGGCGAGCCAGAGAGGATCCCCCCGACCTCTGTCCCTCCATTGTACTGGTGAGGACCCTGCCCCTGCCTGCCCTCCTCCCCCAGCAGCACCCACCTTTGCAGCAGAGGATGGAGGAAACTGGCACAGATGCCTGCAGGGGGAGAAGGGAAGGGGCTGGGCCAGGAACTATCCCAGCCCACTAACCCGGTCCCCTCTCCCCCAGGACCCCTGGAGGCCTCAGCTCTCCCGCCACCAGTGGGGGACTCCAGCAGACACCCCCTCTACCAGCTACTGAACTATGGCCCTGGGAATAGGTGAGACATCAGGGAGCAGGTGGGAGGGGTGGGGAAGAGGCCGAGCCACTGAAAGCCACCATCTCTGTTCCCTCCTCCTAGCTGTGGGGCCCCCTACCCGGACATCGCCCACATGGAGAGGCTCCTGAAGCAGGCTGTGGC